GTTTCCAATTTCCTCTCCTAATCTTCTCTGGGCAGGCTTCCCTGGCCCTCATATTGAGGGGCCATGTGCTTCCTCTGGGCTTGCTCTCATGGACAACTTAGCTCTCTCATTCTATGGTTTGACTGTGTGTGTTCCTTGCCAGACAGTGGAAATCTCAAGGGAAACACAATGTCTTATCCATCCTTGCAACTTTCATATCTCTTTCAGTTCCTGGTACATAGTAGGTACCCAGTAAATATTTGCTTGAGTTTTTGTGGATTTATTTCAGTCAAATTATGTTTTTAATCAGTATTCTGAGTAACAATTCTGGGGCATCTACTCATATATATAAGACCCTCCACCAGACACTGGTGATACAAAGACAGTTGAGACAGATCCCTAGGTCCTGAGACATTACAATTCAGAAGGACATATTGATGATGCACTAGTAAACACAAAGCAAATTTCTAAGGGAGCAACGAAAAGAGACAACTTCACAGAGGAAGTGACACTTGAGCTGGGGCTTGATGAATGAGAATTATGTCAAGAAACAGAAGAGGAAGAAGCACGTTCTGTTACATCTAGATTTCAACTGACATTACATTGCCTTTCTGTCTTACTCCAGAAGAACCTCTGTTCCTTTGTAAATTATTATGAGTATCTAAAAGATGGGTGAAGGCTGCAGAGGGGAAAAGTAAAGCAGGACCCAGGTATAATTTCCTTCATTGCCCCTTCCTTTCTTTACAGTGCAATTATAAATGTGAAAAAACAACGAGATGTAATGCAATGAGCAAATATAGTATGGCAATGATACAGTCTTGTGTCACCTAACGACAGGAATACGTTCTGAGAGATGCACTATTAGGTGATTTCATTGTTGTACAAACATCCCAGAGTGTTCGTACACAAACCTAGATGGTACAGCCTGTTACACACCTCGTTTGTAGGTTATAGCCTGTTGCTCCTAGGCTACAAACCTGTACATCATGTTACTGTACTGAATACTGTAGGCAACTGTAACACAAAGATAAGTGTGTACCTAAACATAGAAAAGGTACAGTAGAAATATGATATCATAATCTTATGAGTCCACTATCATATATGTGGTTCATCATTAACTGAAATATTATGCAGCATATAACCACACTTAAAATATCGTGTCATCAAAATATGAACACATGAAAAGTTGTCTAAGTAAACCTACAGAATAAACTTTGAATTCCACAGATTTTATGCAGTAATGTCTCTTAGATTAGTGGTTAAAAATGATAAATGTGGAATTTTAAACTACAAATTTGGAAATGATCAAAAATTTTAAATATAAGCCAACTAAATAGTTTAAATCTAGAGCGAATTCAAGTTAGGGGTTTTTTTTGGAGGCAGAGAAGTGATTTTTAGAAAATAATTTCAATTTCATTAGTTGATCTGATTGCTTTGTATATCATATATGTTTGTCATTAAAATTAATGAAATGACTAGATATTCCATATTTCAATCTTCTTTCCTGGGAAATCTTAAGAGAAACAGATTGTCTGACTTTTTCGGACCAGGGAATCCACATTTTTAAGAAAAAGTAGATTATTTCATAGTTTACACAGGTGGGATTTCAGTAGGCAAAAGCGTACATCCACATTTAAGCTGAAGTTTTAAGAAACTCGCCCTCCCTGCCAAGTCCAATCTCTACATTTATATGCCATACAGAAAACAATTGCACACATACAAGAGAGAAAGAACAATAATATAATTAGGAGTCATGGTTATCTCTGGTTTAAAGATACCAACATTTTCAGCCGTTAGGCAAGTGCCTTTATTTTATTAAATACATGCTCCCAAGTCTAACATAATCTTAGGACATTTTTGCAAGCTGTGGACATGCCAGGTGCATGGACTGCCAGCAGCACATTTAAAGTATAATGTGTTGTTTGTATTTATCTGGTTGCAAACAGTTAAACACTACACTGACCAAATTGGGTGGAACAAACATCTTCTATTAACACACATTTAACAGGATTTAAAATATTCATAGGAAATGTGCATTATTATTATTTGGCATCAGCACGCCAGATTTTTAAAAATGCATGGAACTGGATATTGGTGGCACACTGGTGTAAGTGACAAATTATTTGAAAAAAAATCTATTAAAATTCTTCTCATCCTGTTTCTCTGTCCATGATAACTTCTCTGCACCCACTCACTTGCTTCTCTGGCTGTAGCTCACTGTCTGCCTAGGTTTCTCTTGGTGGTTTCACCAGTGTCACAGGCTTGAAAATCACTGTCTTAAAAGATCACACTAAAAATATTGCCACTGGTGACCCATTTCGGCACTGGGAAGTTTTGAGGCTGTGGCTGATACAGAAAGGTGCCTGTTAATGGTATGAAATTTAAATGTGGGCATGAGGTGACTTCTCTGTTTCATTGTATAAGACAATATGTGAAATTTCTACATTGAATATTGCACTTTGGGCTGGGTGTGATGGCTCATGCCTGTAATCCTAGCACTTTGGGAGGCTGAGAGGGGCGGATCATCTGAGGTCAGGAGCTCGAGACCAGTCTGGCCAACATGGTGAAACCCCATCGCTACTAAAAATATAAAAAATTTAGCTGGCCATGGTGGTGGGTGCCTATAATCCCAGCTACTTGGGAGACTGAGGCAGGAGAATTGCTTAAACCCAGGAGAAGAGCATGCAGTGAGCCGACAGTGCCACTGCGCTCCAGCCTGGGTGACAGAGTGAGACTCCCTTTCCAAAAAAAAAAAAGAGAAAGAAAAGAAAATTGCACTTTGGTGAGAGTGAGGTGATGGTCAGGATCAGGTATGAAGTGTGATTCTGGCATGGAACAGTCAGCATGGATGGTTTTATAAGCAATGCTTTGTAGCCTTGACAGAAAAACTGCTTGTGCCCAATGCCAATCACTCAGTCTTTGTCAACTTAATTGCACATCCTTTCACAGATGGCATCCATCTCTACTGACATCCAAAATATACAATACCCTGTCACCATGTCTCAGGGGTGAGTATTCACTGCTAACATAATCTGCAGGCACACATGGCCTCCTTCTAGTTCTTTGCTAAGTATGCGACTTCACAGTGTACCTACAAAGCAGAGGAAGGGTTAATTCATTTCAGGGAATGGATTTAAACAAAACTGATGGTTATGAGTTCATACCTGCTATTTATCTAAGCATTACTAATTCTTACTTAAGGAAAATGAAAGATTAATACCACTGATTTCAAACTCAAGCTGTAAATATTACAACAATGGTAGGGTCTCTGCGTATGAAAATTCTAACCATGTACGGTCTATAAGACTTGTTTTGTAGTAAAAAGAGACCAAAGGTAAGTTTGCTCAACAAAGGATACTATGCTAATTGGTATTTTATAATATTTTGGACTTTGCTTATTTATGTGCTACGTCCCTGCCTATATACAGCAGGTCATGGCCCTCATTCAATAAGAATTGTGGGCAGATTACCACTGAGGAAATTTGAGTGTTGCCCTTTCTCTAGGGGAACAGAAAATGCTGTACCAAAAAAAAAGAAAATGCTTTCTCCTTTCTTCCAAGCATTTTTCCTGGCATTCTATTGAGCCTGAATAATTATTTTTGGTTAATCTTTATTTAGTGCCATTAAGCATGATGCTATATATAAGGGGATTACAAATCTATCTTCAGCTGTTTTAAATGTTTCTTAAAAAAATCTATTTTAAGTGTGAATTCCTCAGTCCATAAATCTGAATACAACTGGTGACCATGGCATCCAGATTCTCCAGAGTGCATGCAATGTTCCTCCTCAAAGGTGGTGTATTAAAGCTTTCTGGACTTTGGGTGCCGTTTATTGGACTGTGCTGATAATTTACTAAATGATACCCCTGAGAACAAAAATGCTGAGTGTGCCCTTGCAAAGTACCTAACTTGCTCCCAGGGAGTAATTATGAATTGGAAGAAATGGATTAAGTATTAAACATTATAGCTTATAATGGTGGGTTTTTTTTTTGTAAAAATAAAGTCAACTTTAAACAAGACAGATTGTACTGATTCTGTCTCATTTGATGTATTATCCTCACGAAAATAATACAATTAAAGGTATTATAGAAATAAAACTATACATTTAAATAAACTATTGATATTATTGCAAATACCATATCTTTGTGTTAATATCTAGGCTTTTGAAAGTCATTTATGTTCTCACTGGATATAGAGCCAGCATGGCAATGGGCCAACAGAGAACATCTCCTAAGATGGCTGTGATTAAAAGACTTGACAAGATTAACTCAAAAACCTAATTGTTCAAAGATACAATGTCCTTATTCACTCTGTGTAGCTTGATTTAATTTCTAACTTTTCTTTAAAAACCCCTATACTTTCATATGTATGCCTTTATAGAGGTAATTTGCATAAAACTAAATGTTATAGTCATGTATTTGTTCCCAAATACAATCTAGGAAATATATTCAAGAATAACTGTTTAGTGAACAACTAGAAAATTCTCTTTATTGGTTGAATAAGGGAATCTCAATCCACCCTTTATAGTACACTATTATCAGATTATACCTCTCTATGCTGGGGGCTGTCTTTAGGGTATGGGTAAAAGCAGGAAAATGAAACCTGTTTCCAGGAACGAGTATATGTAAGCAGCCTCATTAATAAGGTCCATATTTCATTTTCTTCTGCCTGCTAGAATTCCTCCGAAAGAGAGAACTTCAGTCATAGGGCAGAAGATGACAACCTTTCTCTTTCAGGGCACTGAGGTGTACCCTGAAGGATAGAATGGGGCCATATCATAATTTATAGTGAATTACTTTGTCCTGTCTGTAGACCTAACCCTCCAGCCCCCCAAGACCACATTACTTTTTTTTTCTGGAAAGACTGATCACCTTTGCCCCCTCTCCTGCCCTAGAAAAGATTATTGTCGCTAAACGACAAGTAAATAGGGGAGGCTCATCTCTTTGCTTTGGAAAATATTGAAGACATTTTAAACTCCCTAATGTAGAAGACATTTGGCTATGTATTGTTCAGACCACTTACTGTCCTCTGCAGTCATGAATGGAATCCAAGAACTATGTGCACTGCCAAATCCATTGGAGGCAACCAACCGAAACATATACTCTGTGTACGGTTGGAGATCTCTCACTTCATAGCTTAACGATGCAGAAGGATTGGAAAATAACCTATATGGGAAAGAAATGTGAATTAGGAAGTTTTAGACATTCAAAGAAATACAAGGAAGTAAATTTTTTACTACAAAAAAAATTTTAGAGAATGTCAACATACATTTAAGTACTGTAATTTTCTGCCATCAAATGAGATCGCTTTTAAAATAAGTGGCCGTTTGGTTGAGAGTTTGTAATCTTGTATTTATACGCAATGTAAATCCTAGCAGTGTTGAGACTGCCATGTGGAATTGTAGAATAGGTATTATAATTTGTTAGCAACAGTTCAGACATCATTTTGTTAGTTTCATTGCTTTATGAAACACAAGTGCTCATGAAAAGTTTCAGTGGGAATAAATCTTACTTTAAATGCTACATAAATAATAGATATTTCTGAAAAGCAAATAATTATCCTCTAAGTTGTTTGCCTGTTTTTTGTTTTTTTGAACTTTCAAAAGGTGAGGGATGCAGCAAACTACCATAGCATGTGCATACCTATGTAACAAACCTGCATGTTCTTCACATGTACCCCAGAACTTAAAGTCTAATAATAAAATAAATAAATAAAATAAAAAATAAAAGGTAACTATATTTTTTGCAAATGAGAACCGACCTACTCTTCAAAAATGTTATGTCTATATTGTTTAACCCATCTGATAGATAGGATGGATGAAGTAGAATGCTCACTCTAGAAATCCATGGGTGGAGTCGCCAGGCCTCATCTGGAGTTGGTATCTGGGAGAGCCAGGAGCGTTATTACGAGCTGGTGTAGACCAGACAACCTGAAGACTGGTTGGAGTGGCAGATGAAAGCCTGGGAGGCAGCACGCCATCTGGAGCTGTCGAAAAACACAGATGAATTAGAGCAGAGAAAACTGTGGAGAACATATGCTGGATGGAATCGAAATGCTCCATATACTGGAAAAACTGTTCCTCAGGATCAACAACAATGTTAAACATGGTCCATTTAATTTAACATTTTCATTCCTGAACTCCTGTACTTCCTTATTGTTCATTTCAACACAATTACATTAGTATTTCAGTCTTAAAAGCCAGCCCCCAAACAGCAAAACAAATGAATATGCTGCACATTCCCACCTGTACTTCTGTTTGTCTAACTGAAAACATGGAGGGAATTTAGTGAAGCAAATAGTAAAGTACCTTTTAAATTTAACTCTTTGTTCAACAGACCAAGCAATTGAACACCAAAGCAGTCCAGATCTCATATTCTTCCCATTTATATCATCCATTGCTGCCTTAATCACGCTACTACATATGAACACAATGGCTTTTTTTGTTTTTGTTTTTTCTTTTGGAGGATGGGAAGTTTGCTAAAATTGTATTTTTCTGGAATGATAAATAAACATGAGTGGCTGAATATAGCATATTCCAGCCTTAATGCTTACCCATGAAAATGTAAAAAAGTAAACACTTTTCCCTGTGTGTTTTATACGGTTACTTCTTCTCACAGTTATCCTTCCTCCTGCCCTTATTCAATTTTGCAGGTTGAAGCATGCACACCAGTTTTTCTAGTCTAGTTGAATCTCCAACAGATCTGTTCTGATTTCAACATACCTGCTTGGTACAACCTACCAGGGAAATCTACTTGAATGGTTCTAGAAGGCCTAATAGGAATGTGTAAAACTAAAGCCTATTCTACTAAAAAAATTGATGACTCTGGTTATTTAACTAATTTTTCCAACAGGTATATTTCAAATTTGTTCTAAATCACATCAATTTGCTCCAAAGCTATTCAGAAACTTGAAAGTAAATTAAGCACAACTCTGTGCCTGTAGGAAAATGGCCAAATGACTCTGAACCTATTATTTTCTAATCTTTAAAATAGGTATAACACTTTCCTTTATAGAATTGTTGTGAAGTTCAGAAAGCATGTAAATAAAGTAACTGATTTTAGGCCCTGGTAATTATTAGTTGTTAACTATTACTACTATTATTACATTGGACTGTCCTGAACTTTCTTTAGCATAATTTCATTGCTAGTATGACATAATTTGTTGGGAACATTCTGATTATTCTAGTATAGGTTCCTAATGACCACGGATTACCAGAGGCCATTGGTGAAGAAGGAGAAGTAATCAAAATAATGAGAACAAATGAAATATCAGGGTCCATTTTCACTTTATTTTATACATAATCTTGTACAGAGTGTCAATTTTGTGTACTCTCCAATTCAGAAGAACCTGCCTGTGAACAATGAGGCTAATGAATGGGCAGTGATGAGAATAGAATAATTAGATTACATGCTTCAACAATCTGTTGTAATGAGTTTGAGCTCATTAATAATTCCTTCATTTGTTCAATAAACATTTATTGAGGCTCCACTCTGTGCTAAGCAGTACTCTTCATGTGGAAGGAGAACAGCACTGAATAAAATAGACACTACCCCTGCCCCTAGGTAGCTTACATTCAAGTGGAGGGAGCAGGTATTAAACAAGTGAATACTGTGTATACAATAATACCAGGTGGCCATAAGTGCTTTCCAGAAAAATGAAGCAGGGTAAGGAATGAGAAGGAGAAAATAATTGTGCAGTTTTAGTTACAGGTAACCACTTGAATTAGATGGGAAGATTATAAGAAGAAAATGCAATTCAGAAATATTTGAACAGATACTCCACTGATATGAGGGAGGTAGCCAACCAAATGTCTGGAGGAAGAACAATCCAGCCAGAGACAGCAGTACATTCAAAGCCGGTAAGGAGGAAAACATTCTGGTTGTGTATAAGGAACAGTAAGAAGGTCAGTGTGGCTAACTCGGACGTAAGAGGAGAGGGAAATAAAAAGTCTTCAGTAAATGATATGAAATAATTCTTTCAATCCGTAAAAGTGTGGCATGGCTAGAAAGTGCAATAAGATTGCTGTCCAGGACCAACTACCCACTTCTTAACTTCACATTTTGGTTCAAAGGCCATTCACTGCTAAAGGCTTAGTAACTGATGTTTTATCTATGAACACAAGTAGTTTTAAACAATCATGATTTCTTATTTGATATATATTCTTTAATTTATTTATAATAAGTGCACAGATAGAAAAAAGTACACTGTAAAAACAGGCAAAAAGTAAAGTGGAAATTGCGTACAATGTATAACACATAAAATCGTGTCTCTCATTTGATTATTTTTCTCTAATTTTCCTACATCAAGGAGAATAATGTAATTGAAAATCCAAATTCTGAATTTCAAGTCATTAACCCTGAAAAAATTAGTTTTTAATATGCACACAAAAAATCCCTTATGTGTTAAAAACTACATTACCTTTCTATTAAGAAAGCAGGAAGAAATGCCCCAAAGTAGGCTTCATAATGATAATAAAGTGTCACGAATTCTCTTCTGAGTAATAACAAAACAATATGCTCCATTAAATTGGTACACTTTGAATATATTAAATTGCAAAATATTTCCAAACAGAATGGTCACCTTAAATTATTTATATATGACGACTCATTCTGTATGCTTCCAGTAACACTGCATTCTGGAAACCTTCCTTTCCCCTCTGTTTAACCCCTTTTATCCTAGATTTAATCCTCAGAGGCTCCTTAGCACCAAAGCAATAACTGGGAGCCAGCCATAATTCCACTGCTGGTTTCTTAACAGAAGAACCCTGTATCCATCAGCTTGATATATTGTCTCCAAGATGCTATGCTGCTCAAAAAGCTTCTCTCAAGTTTAATATGACCCTCGCGGGGCAAACACTCCAAGACAACCTCCTGAATCAACGCATCTTGTCCAGTAAATACCAATTCTACATAGCGAATGGATAAAACAGCTACCCCAATCTATAAATTCAAAGGAAGTGGGTTTTTAATAAAATTTCCAATTTGACGTGCTTCAGAAGACAAAATTCATACAAAACATTAAGCAATAAATTAAATCACAGATTAGAATAATCAACATGGTATAATCTTTTAAATATATAATTCTATTAAGCTTTAAAATGATTGGACTCTTCTCTGCCTAAAAAACAAAAGAAAACAAAAAACCAAATAGACAAATATTTACACATGTCCTAAACTCCTCTAAGAAAACAAATCAAAACAAAAAACAAATAGAAAATGACTTATTTACACATGTCCTAAACCTTTGCTCCCTACAGATTTATCAGACTCTGGGGGTGAGCTCTCAAACACAAAAACAGAGGCTTTACAAATGTAGTTGGTGACTACTAAGTCTGTGGGGACAAGAAGCAGAACGTTTTAGGGAGAATATGAAATCACTGTGCTTTCCATATGCACTGAAATGTTTCTCAGGGCGTCCTACCAACATGTTACTTTTGTGGGGTGTGTGTGTGTGTGTGTGTGTGTGTGTGGTTTTTTTGTTTTTTTTTTTTGCCTGTGTGTGTGCATTTCAAAATGGTGAAATAAAATGCTGTGTTAAAATATCAAATAAGCCTGTAATATTTTGTATCCAACTCAATTCTCTAATATAAGATATTGAATACCACTCTGCACAAGGCTCTTGTTAGAGGGCAGAATAGGTAGGAGGAGGAATAAAATAATCTACTCTATGTTTAACAGATAAGCCCTGACTCAAATAACTATACCACCAAAAAAGAATGCTCAGCACAAAAGAGGTATAAATGCTACGGGGGACTTGGAAGTTAGAAACTCACTTCCAGGGGTGCACTGGGCCTTGTCTTTCAGAGATTCCTGGCTTGCAGAGGCCCTGCCTTGGGGACACTATCAGATTGTTCATCCAGGTTAATGATGTTCTCAGCTTCATTCCAGGGCCTATGGCTCCCACCAACTTTTCCTGTGCTCATTCCATTTAGATGTGATGCTTCTTGCTGGACTCACTAGGAATCTGACAATCTGACTCTAGCCTTCCCCACATTACCCCCTCACTTCAGGGATTACATTTTTGGCATTCTCATTTAGATTTTTGTCTTAATATTGGAGAAACGGTGGCCTTTTACCTATATGCATCCTTGCTGCATTACTGAACAGCCTGGCACATATTCAAAATCCTTGGATTACACATTTCTTCATCATTTTCCGAAATAGGTACATATGAGCAAGGGTTTTAAATCCTAGTTTCCAGAATGGAAAATTAAAGTTCAGATGCATATACTGAGTCATTGAGTCATGAACAAATTGAAAACAGAAGGCAAGACTCGATTTCCAGTCACTAAACCATATGTCATTTTAAAAGATATTAATTATGAGGAATATGCAGATGTGCTAACAAATGGACAGTCAACCTTGAACACAAGGATGCACAAACAGAGCAGCATTAAATAGTAACAAGTAGGTTAAAATAGATTTCATGTTCACCAAACAGTCTCTCATCAGAGCGAACTTTTTGAAAGCATACTATGTACAAGGTTATTTAACATAATTATTTCTAATTCTCAGAGTCACACTCCAAAATTGCAGTGTTGTCTCTTTGTAGGATAGACGAAGAAGGTGAGGCTCAGAGAGAAGTTAAATATTTTATTTCAAAACGCAAAACTGATAACTGGCACACTGAGGATTCTAACAAGGGATGTTTAAGTTCAAAGGCAGTGTGCTCTTAATTTTACACCATGAAATAGACTGCTATACTAAGTGATTTATAACATAGAATAACTATTCAATATATTAAATCAATATAAAAGCAAACTGTTTACAATATTAAATAAATAAGTTTCAATAAATGTTGGATGTATTTTCTGTCCAGGTCATATTCTTAAACAGTACCTCCCCGGCCTTATTTCTTTATCACGGCAGGGACTCCCATCGTTCCACAAGGTACCACACGTAGAACTACTAGTGTGGATTTGCCACATCTCCAGAATTAGTCAACATCCACAGAAATTCCATGAAATGTAAAATAGAGATATCTTC